TAGCACGCTCCGACCACCAGGCTTCTCGGTCCTTACGCAAGCTTTGCCCAATTACCTTACGTAACATCCTTCTTTTATGGTCAAACTCACGGTCACCCGGAGTAGACCGACGGGCTTCAATGAGTTGTAAGGAACCTGAAGAAACCCAGTGCCCAAAAGCGGGACGTTTCGTGAACCCACAACTGACTGTACCCGCCATTTTCATGGCGTCATGCATTTGCAACCAATGCTCATCTATACTTTTCGGTGGAGTGGTAGCTAGCCTAAAAACTAGCTCGGTTCGATACTTACTTGCAACAGAAGTTGCAACCAACTTGCTAATATCAATCCGTTGATGGCGGTCACTTCGTTGGCCATTGAAAAGTAAGGTAAGATTGGCGCAGACCAAGGCATGGTCAGAGTCCAGATAGGTACTCCAAAAGGAGCGGCAGTCTTGTACACAACCATGCCAGCGGTAGCTGATCGCGATGTGATCAATCTGAGTTCATGCCTGAGACGCAGAGGGTGGACGCCAGGTGGCACATCGGCGATGACTGTGCCGAAAGTTAGTGCTAGTCAGAAACAGGTTGTGGTCTGTACACAGTTGCAGTAGATGGTCCCCGTTATCTGAATTGCGACTAACAAGTCCCCATCGGCCACCTAAACGACCCTCTTCTGTGCCTAGACGCCCGACCTGAGCATTCAAGTCTCCGGCTAGTACTACAATATCTGTCGAACGCACTTTCTGGAGAAGAACAGATAACTGGTGGTAAAACTCATCCTCGATTGCATCCGGGCTGCAATCTGCCGGGGCATAGGCGGAGATGACGAGAAGACATCGTTTCTCACGCCGATTTCTTCTCACTCTGATGGAACTTTCTAACCTAACAACACATAACCGACTGTTAATAAGGATCCAATCGACTAGTGCTGCCTCAGCTCGAGCGCTTAGTGCGACACCAACGCCAGCAAGACCAGACGAAGATGCCACAGGGTCCCCGGATAAGCGCACGTAAAACAAGCTTTTCGAAGCGACAGATGGAGAGCGAATCTGTAGTACTTCACCAGTCTTGAATACGGGTCTCGGATAGACAACAAACATCAATATTAAGACTTTCCAAAGACATAGCCAGCCGTATCTGTTGTCCGACCTGCATAAGTGTGCGAACGTTGAAGGCAGCCAGTTTGAATGGTGCACGTGGTTTCAGAAAAACTGCTTCAGTTCTCGTATTCGGTGGTAACATACAATTTTCAACCGGACAGTGACTCGAGAACGTTTAGATATAGTCGAATTTCCACCAAAGACGAGCCGCTGTATAAGTATAAATGAGGGTGAATAATGTGGAAAATAATAATAATAATAATGACAATAATAGTAATAATAATAATAGTATTAATAATGACAATAATTGTAATGATAATAATTTGAATCAATTGGTTGTTTTTCGAAGCGAGAAAACTTGTCGTGCACAGACCGAATTGCGACAATACATATAATCGTTGAGCAACAAGTTGAATGAAACTCGTGACTATTATCAACGCCATTGACTATGAGAAGACGTTTGACAGTGTGGATCGGATGATATTACGAAACCACCTTTGACACTAAGGTCTACCTTGGAAGGTGGTTAACATCATCCGGAATTTATACGACAGACTGCAGCGCAAAGTGGCGGATGAAGGACAGCTAACAGATGCATTTCAAGTAGGGACCGGAGTCAGACAAGACTGCTTACTCTCTACTTCTCTCTTTCTTCTGGTGATTGACTAGATTATGGAGACCCCCACATCTCAAGGGAAGCACGAAATACAATTGACAGATTGGATGCGTCTAGACGGCTCGGACTTCTTAGATTACCAAGACCTATCTCATACGCACGAAATAGTACATATAAAGGCAACAAGTGCAGCAGCCTCTGCATCAGTAAGCCTCAACAAACACAAGGGAAAAAGCAAGATCCTCAAATACAACATGGATAACACGAACCCAATCACACTTGATGGAGAAACGCTGGAAGATTTGAAAACCTTCATGTACCTGGGTAGTATCATCGATGAACATGGAGGATCTGATGCAGACGTAAAGGAGAGGATTGGCAAAGCAAGAACAGCACTTCTACAGTTGAAGAACATATGGAACTCAGAACAACTGTCAACCAATATCAAAGTCAGAATCTTCAATAAAAATATCAAGACAGTCCTCTTACACGGAACTGAAACATGGACAACTACCACAACCATCATCAAAAAGGTACAAGTATTTATAAACGAATGTCCACTCAAGGTACTGAATGCTCGTTGGCCGAACATCATCAGCAACAGCCCACTGTAGGAGAAAACGTACTAAATTCCATTTGAAGAGAAAATTAGGAAAAGACACTGGGAGTGGATACGACGTACATTTGGGAAATCATTAGACTGCATCACGAGCTAAGAGCTAACTTGGAATCCCGAATGGAAACGGAAAAGACGAATGCCGAAGAGCACACTGGATAGAGGATTGCAAGCAAACATGAAAAGGATGAACAGCAACTGGAAAGTATTGCCCAAGACAGAGTTGGATGTAGAATGCTGGTGAGCGGCCTATGCTCCTTCATGAGGGGTAATTGACGTATGTATGGCTAGAATGATGAATCTATTGGTGATCCGTCGCAGATTTCTGATTGAGCGCCTTCAGCTGGAGTGTATCCAGTGAAACTACTGAGTTAAGTATCATTGTCGAATACACAGAGGACTATTAGTTTGGAGAATTTAATTATCACACTGTTATGACTTGACTTAAACATCCTGATTTGTCTTTGACAGTTTCGGTCAATTTGTTCAAAAAATGAAAGGTTTGTGATAAGTTGCCATTTAAAAACTGAAGTACAATAAGGCCATTGCATCACAAATCCATTGTTTGTTGTAGTCACAAAATCTAATAATAAATTATAGAATTTATCCAAGAACTGTAATTTTTTGCTGTCTTGTCGATGAGTTACTTCGTTAGTATTGTGGTAAGACATATAATTTCTCATTGGCTTCCGATAACGTGGCACTCAAATGTTCAACTGGACAGGCATATGACGCGGCAAAATATAACCACCATAGATTTATAGTTAGTTGTCAGATAGTAACAAACTTGGACATCATGAACAAATGTTCATCGATATCAGACCAGTTAATGATGCGAAACTATTCAGATTATTGCTGTGCTGCTTAGGGTTGCATCAGTGATAGTAGAATTGTGTAGATGAAAAATGATTTTTGGAGAAAAAATCCGTACGGTAAATAACGAAATGATTTTAGAGATCAATATTCAAATGTGACGGATTTATCTAAGACTGACGTTAAGCCAGAATATTTAACATTTTCAACCATATTGTCAATCACGCTGAAAAAAAAGACGGGTAAACTATGTCAACCATAATATCAATTTCGGTAGCTAATTTCATGAACAGATAACATTCCTCAGTATGACTACCCCTAGCCTTCTGACTACTTTAGTGATGAAGTCTCAAATTTAACTGAACGCTTCGAGTGGCAGTATGAACCCTACATAGCCACTGCACCCTTTCCCATCTCACAATATTTGTGATCAGAAATATACAGCCTACCCACGTTCCCTACTTATACATACCATATTATACGACTATAGGGTAGTAAAGAGTCCATCGCCGCTCTGCAAATTCCGGTTTTAGTGGGTAGATATCCTGTCTAGGATAAAACTGGGCGAACTCCAACTAGACTTTCACAATTTATATCGAGATCTCGTCTGAGCTGGCGGATGTTACAAGCTAGTCTAAGCGACCACCACCCGCAATGGCATCATCTCATATAACCACTTCAGACTTGGACACAGAAGTTACGAGGTGGCATTTTGGATTCGGAGAAAGAGAATTACACCAAAAACATTTTCGCATCATTAATAAATGCTTCCAATAGAGCGTGCTTCCTACTAGATCTTGTAGTAAACCCACTCAAATATTGTATTATCTGTCTGCTCACTGTAATTTAGACACTTAATCCACTATGTAAATTTCTGTGTCTGATTGAGCGCTTATCTGCACATCAATCTTTAATCTATCCTCCCATTGGTTATAACACACAGACAATCAATAACTTATCCACAACCAATTAACACTCATAAATACACATGGATTCTTAACACTTACACATACTCACTTGTTTCCCTGTGTGCTTGCGGATTTTAACAATCCTCAAAAATAAACTTTCTTTATAACTGGTGTCCAGGCTTTTAAATAATATCGAGTAAATACATAATTCTACTAGGAGATTTAGCCTGCGTTAAATACTCAGTTAACGGGATACTATTTATTGGAGCCAGGTATAGAGGAAATTAGCCTCTATGATCTCCTTTCAGATACTGGGGTGAGTTTCCAGGATGGAAAATCACTAAGAATCTAGATGCAGAGACGCCTGCGGTCACAGAAATAGAACACTACTTACAGTAGTTAGCCATAAATAGACCTACTTTGTGTTTGACTGAAGAACCGTCACAGCGCTCGTTGTATCGAAAGTCGTTCACGGAACAAAGTTTTGCCTGTGGAATAGGTGTAGCCTTGATAAACATAACTGATAACTTGACCGCAAGCGTGGAAATTATTTCGTTGGACAGAACTAAGTCCTACATCCTAAAACGAAAAACTAAGAATTCTTCAGACGGTTTGAAAAAGCCTTCCACATGGAGATCTTGAGTATTACGTAGTCACATTTCTATAATAAAGCAGCAAGTAGTTTTAAAACTTTTGTTTTACAGTACATTTCAAAATACTTTTCAGTGTGGTCTTCCGCAATACCTAATAAGATCCGCTCAACTAATTGCAAAAGGGGTCAATTTCGAAGTGGTTAATTTATGCACGAAAGATAGGTTGGAAAGTTGATATATCCGGTCAGTTCTTATCAAACAACGCAGTCATACTGAAAAAATGCTTTCGAAATCGATGACAAGCAGAAAGCTTGATAATCCGAAAATTAAGACGAACTTAACTATGCCGCATGACAAAAACAGGAAAAAATCGTTTGTAATCATAGTGAAAATTTTTACTTCAGAATATGTGGCCAAACCTTTATTTCGGAGATAAGTCATAGTGAACAAAGTAAAAGCGTTGGAAATAAGGTAGTAAATCCATTTGAAATTTTTAGTTGTCTATGTAAATACACTGGATTGATTTACTTGCTAAAGTAGCAAGTAATTTTAGGACGAAAAGCACTCAACGACGTCGCCAAATAGATACAACTTTGAATGATTAGATGGAAGCACAGAGAAAAGTGAATTGCATATTACACATGCATAAATACATAAAACTAAGCAACTGAATCACAGGTTAGGGAGTTACCACGTATACACGCTGCTTTCCAAACTGCAAGTGACGCCGCTTCTTCTAAGCTATTGACGGCAATCAACTCCAAATCGCTGTTAGAAATAAGGGACTGAGCTTCGACAGCATTGTTACCCTGAAGCCTAACAACAACCGGTATATTAACAATACCATTCTTTAGAGCTGATATAAGACCTTCAGCAATTATTTTGCAGTTAACGATCCCACCAAATATATTCACCAGAATGCAATCAATTCGAGAGTCTCCTACAGAGGGGGAAATCGGATGAAAAATTCACTACAGTAGAAAACAATTTGACATAAAATTTGAACTCGACCTGTTTTTTTAAAAAGCACATTAGATAAATCAAACAAACCCTAAATAACATAGAATTTTATTGACCAACTCTATTAGGCATGCAAACTTAAAATGAAGAATTCCAATATAATTCATGGAGGAACATTTGTCTAAATATTAGGAAACATTAGATACAAAAAACTCAAAGAAATCTACGTACTTCAAGTTGCAAAACATCCAGATAATGACTATGCATATAAAAGAAAACCTAAGTAAACAGTGTGATCTGACGAATCTATAGGAATGAAGTGGTAGGAAGTGTCATAAACACTCGAAGCAAAAAATGTTGTGGCTAGCACCGATAATTGGTGTTTACTAAATAACGTGTAAAACGAAACACGTAGTGAAAAAGTACGACAATCAATAGAAGAGAACGATGTCAGTTAATCACATTGAATGTTAAAATAAGAAGATAAGATAATGGTTACAACAAGTCCACAAAATTGTTTTGCACACTATAAGTTTAGATATGAATAGTAAGTATTATAACTTTATGAGAATATTCCTCAATACTCGGACGAATAGTCCGACAAAAATTGGGCGCCGAGTATAGAGAAGTCATTATATGTGAAAATCATATTTGAAATAATCTTAGCGATTGAAATTTAAGTAATTCCAACGTTTAGTACAGAAAAATTGTCTGGACTTCCTCAGGGTAGTCAGAAATGTAAATACAAAAACTTAAAGGTGTATACCTTAGAAGACTAAAAAATCGTTGATCTTTACATTTACAACAGAAATAAGTTATTCTTCAAAGTATTTGAAAGTATAATTTTCATCCACATTTTTTCTTGTCCTAAAATACTTGTACGAGACAAAATATTTTTATGATTTATATATCAAATGCCACACTTGAGTTAAAATTGGCAACAACCTGTCATCTATTTCGAAAAATAAAAACAAAGGATATCAACGGGATTTTAACAATAACATGTCCGAACCACATTCCAACATATAATCTCATCAACTAAGATATGCCAATGGACGTCATGAGCTTGTAAAACAATTTACTATCTGTTATAGGGATTTTAATGATAATTTTTTGGGACTGAGGGGAATATACTTCATAAGTTTTAAAAATAAACACTTAAGAAGTCCTGAATCAAAGATTGTTATGCATATGTCATGAAAATAAAGGTTCATAGTACGTCTAAACTACAAGATTAAAGAGAGCAAATAAGTAAAACTTGTGTTATGGTCCATTAGAGTAGCATAACTCTTACTGAAGCATCTACATTGCACTACTTAATTCATAGTACCAGAGTAACAATCGTCCATAAATGAGATTAATAAAAAGAACAAACTGAAGTACCGTCAATTTACTTACTGGCAAGTATGTGGAATGCTTTTTCAACTTGAGACATGGTGACACTTCCCCCCAGATCAAGAAAATTAGCAGGTTTACCATGATGATAATGAATCAAATCCATAGTAGCCATAGCCAATCCAGCTCCATTTACAATACAACCAATATTCCCATCGTCTAAACCAATATAGTTTAAGCCATTGTGTGTAGCATCAGCTTCTAAGGCTGCTGCACTCTTCGGACCAGAAGCAGCCACTTCAACAGCTTCAACTTCCAAGGCCATTTTATGAACTTCTGGTTGACGGTATATTGCATTCTGGTCGAAAGCTAATTTAGCATCAAAACATACAATCTGACCATCCTTTGTCTCACCAAAAGGATTAACTTCAACCTGTTAAAAAAAAACAGAGAACTTGTAAAACACAAAGTTTCATCTAGACTAGTTTAACAGTTCCTAAATAATTTGAAAACAATTTTCCATGAAATGAATTTTAATTAATCTAGAACAATCGTAAAAATGAGTAACGGTTTGAAAACCTAGTCATTAGCTCAAAACAAATAAAGCTAAACAGTAGAATATCAACTGGATTGCTGTTAAGATCGCATTATTTGGTTTATAAAATGCAAACAGTGTAGATCACTATGAAATTAAGTTAGTTATCACTCACTTTATGGCAGTGAAACATGGCCGGTAAGAGTAGAGGATATTCGTAGGTTACTAGTATTCGATCATAGGTGTCTTCGAAGCATTGCTCGTATATCATGGGACCATCGAGTAAGTAACACAGTTGTTAGGAAACGGGTACTAGGTAAGGATGGCAAATCAATTGATGAAGTAGTGAAACTTCATCAGTTGAGATGGCTGGGACACGTGTTACGTATGCCCAACGACCGACTACCTCGACGTGCTATGTTCAGTGGTATAGGAGTAGATTGGAAGAAAGCTAGAGGCTGCCAAACCAAAACATGGCACAAGTCCATGAAGTCACTGACAAGTGGACTGAGTCATGTCGGTAGGTGTAGACTACCTGGTTGGCGACCACGAGATGATAGCAACCGATGGTTAGAGACCCTGAATGACATGGTTCAAAATCGTTTGCAATGGCGCAGGTGCATACACTCTTTGTGTTCTCCCAAATTCTAATCTTCTGAATTCTTTATGTCCCTTTTTTCCTCTTTCCAAATTCGTTTCACTGGATTATACTCTTTAAATAACATCTCCAAACCCTAATCTTCTCGATTACTGCTTATACACTTGTTACCTCTACCACTACGGGATTTGAATCGACAACAACATCTCTGTGCTAAGGTGGTGTGGCAACTCGAACTGATGTACGTACGTACGTACGTACGTACGAAGTTCTACGTTGTTACTGACTGACTGACTGAGTTATCACTCACCATTTAAATAGTCTGCAAATTCGAGTTTCTTCAAAAATATTTCTCAGAATATAAAATAGCAAAATTGTGTGGTGAACAGTTAGGATACTAAGTTATAGCACCACAAGTCGTTCAACACTAAATTAAACAAATGACCTAACTCTTAAACTGATGGGTAATTTGACAAACATTTGTAGTATAAGGATTATATAGTTAAACCGTTATTAATATGATAAAAGGTAGCTTGGTTTATTTTATTTTGAATGAGTTACCTTGTCCTAGTTCTGAACACCTAGGGCATGAACAGTTTTGTATTGACAGAGAACTGGATTCACGGACTTAACGTCTTATGATGAGCATACCTGCATTCTAGTCAATAGGTCTACATTCTATTATCTGAGCTGATATATAACATCGCGAATAACATCTAATGTGATCGCTGAACATTTTCATTTTAGGACTACAGATCGTGACACAAAATTCATGATGTAACCATAAGCAAAATATTAGTAGGCACCAGTGGTTTTTGGAGAACAGATCTGACAAGTTGTCAAAAGACTAAATACGATTAACTAGTTTGAGTGTATACTAAAAGATTGGTCAGTCAGTTTTTAGTCTATCGGTACATCAAGACGTTTATCTCCATATGACTAACCTGAACACAATCTAAAGCTGTGAACATCTTGTAGAGTTTTTGAATCTGTTTGGAGGTTTCTTCATACAATCGAGTATGTAAATTGAACCCCAGAGCCGTGGCGAATCTTGATGCTTGGTCCTCTACAAAATAGAAAGATTAATTGATTGGTTAAAAAGTGGACAGTGGTGGTATATATAACGTCTCCTAAAATTCTTGCTAGGTACATTAATTTCACAGTACTCAAAATAGGCATCTGACTGATAGGAAATACGTTTCCATGAGATCTGTACTTACCTCTAGCAAACATATTGACCACACACTTTATATTATATATAACACTCGATAACCCAAAAATACACATAAACATAAGTAGAAATCTGTTCACTTTTGAAATAACACTTATGATAACATGAAATTTTACTTGAATAGTGAAGTAGACGAACTGTGAAGTTTGACTAGCAAATGAGCGAAAAAAGTTGATAAGAACAATTTTGAAAATAACTGATTATAAATATTTATTACTGATAATTCCAATAAACTAACATTTAAAAAAAGCTATTCGCTTCATCATTGAGTTGCAGTTTCATATCATTAAAATGAAAATGTTTGTATGTTGCTTAAGAATATTCCACAAATATTAGTTGGATATTTTAGTGGATATATAAGAAGAAAAAAAATTTTTATATACTAACCAGTTACTCCGACAGTTATATCAATAGGTTCTTTGATAATCTCAGATGGACAACGTTTAGCTAATTCTTCAATATCCATCCCACCTTGGCTACATGCTACCATGATTGGGGAGTTAGATGTTCGATCCATTAAAATAGCAAAATATGTTTCGCGGTGAATATCAAGCGCCTCTGCTACCATGACCTGAAGAAATTCATAATAACATACTTAGGAAAAATAACTGCTAAGATAACTTATTTATAAGAAGGGATTTACTTGGGTTATAATAATAAATGAATATACTGATTCTTTTCATATTTATAATGAACCTTCATAATCAATCTGTATATATTAAGAGACTTCTGGCATTTACGTTTTGTATTGACAAAAACTGATTGTGGTTGCTATAGGTTGGTAGATGATATGAGGCTAACAAAATTATTTGAATCAAATAAAAATACTAAAAGGATGATTTTGAGTTTAGATAAAGAATTTAATGGCAGACATGTTAATTAAAGATTAGAGATCTATCATCATTGACTGAGATGGCTGGGCCACGTGTTGCGTATGCCTGAACACCGATTACCACGACGTGCAATGCTAACCGGTGTTGGAGATGGTTGGAAGAAAGTTAGGGGCACCAAACCAAAACGTGGCATCAGTACTTGAAGCCACTAAATTCTGGTTTGAGCTATGTTGGTAGATGCAGGATACTTGGTTGGGGCTAGCGATACTATCGTAACCAATGGTTGGAGACTCTGGGTGACATGGCTCAGAATCTATCACAATGGCCAAACTACGAGATTAAAGTCGCTTTATATCTTTCTTTCTACGAACTAAATTTTTCTTCCTGTACTATATCCTTATATGCAATCTTTCTCACATATATTACCACCATCGAATTAACTACTTCTATGAATTCGGTGTTAATCATGATGTGCTAATGCGGTATGGCAACTTGGACCGATGCATATATGTGCCTGGTCCTACGTTGTAGCTGACTGACTGTTAATGATAATCAAATTATGTTTTTATAGTTCTTAAATATATTAGCGAGCTACCTGGAACTTTTATACTGACCGAAATAAAAATTGACTGCTGAAATGGATAAAAAATAATCAGTCAACGAAGGGCTGTGGAGTTTATCAACGTTGTGAGGAAATGTATAACACCAGTGAATTCCGGGCGGAAAATCTAGTGAGCAAGAACAAAGCCTGATATTCATGTAATTTCACTGACAGATAGGTCAGCTGAAAAACTCATCATATACTCGATTAATTTCAAACGATATATAATCAAAATCCCTTCCGTACTAAAATTTCGTGTTATTTACTAAAAATAAAATTTATTTTGTTCAGTCATGTCAGACACCGATATCAGTTCATACAGAGCTTTGAGGCAATAATTAAGTTACACGAGCATGATCTGTTGTTCAAGGGGTATCATTATACATCATCTACCAACCACTGCCTAATTTATAACTTTAACAAAAATATGGTCCTAAAACATATGACGCTTTCATCCATGAGAGTAAAATAAAGATGAAAATCGTGTGCCATTTGTTCCCTCAGGATACTGGAGCCCATATGCACCATCGGTTTTGAATAAGGGTTTTTCAACTCCCCTAGGTGGATTCTCCATATCCACTAACCAGATTAAGACGTTGGACATTCGCTTTTCGTCCTATCAATTTCGTAAACAATACCCCCGCCGCAAGAAGGCGGTGAGTAGGACTTCCCTGGTAGTGGTTGTATGCACGCGGCCGCGTGAGAGCATTTAGAGAGGTAGAGCCAACTCACCCACTCTCGGCCGTACCAAGGTACTTGGGGGCTATAATGCAATAAATAAAGCATTACTTAGCAACAATCGACATGATAGTCCAGCCAATGTAGTTGACAAACTAATAGAAAAGATTATACCGGTAGCTATATGAAAATACATGAAAGTGTTTCGTGCCTTTACGTAACTCTCGTGCTATTGATAGAAGAAACCAGACTAGTAGTGAATAGATCTTTATTTAGATCTTCGCGCAGTCACAGTGGAGCATGGGATTACCTGTTCAGACAAACAAAGTCTCTCGACATTCCACATAAGATAATAGGAAATATAACGCCTATACAAAATAAGGGAATGAATGAATACTTGAACTCTACTGTTTTGACATATGCTTAGTTGTTTGAGGTGAACTCTTAACCAACCAACCTAAGCTGTTACAAGTGCATTACCTTACATCCAGCAATCAACTTGGTTCTAGGAAAAACTTATAATGTCTTATTAGTCTGTCGATTGAACAACATGGATCTAGGAGTCACAATAAGCAAAAGCATCACAACTACTAGTAAGTACAAGGTTGGTTGTCGCTGCCAAATGCTTCAGGGTCTTACGGGCTTTTCATAAGTCATTTCATTACTTGGACGAAATATCTGGGGTATCATTCTTGACTTTTTTGAGACCGAATTCGGAATATGAAATTCAAGTAGAGAGTTCTTGCTTCAAGCATGAGGCGGATATGCTAGAGCGACTTCGACGGTTAGGGGCCAAAACGGCAAAATGTATCTCAAGCCTATCTTATGAGGTCAGACCGAGACAACTCAACCTATTCCCGTTATCTTAACTCAGGTTATGTAGTGATCTAATTCTGGCATACTATACACTGAACGATAATCGTGACATTATTATGTCTTATCTTTTCCCTCCTTTAGGAATGATTATTCGAGAGGACATTCTAAGAAAGTCCAACAACCGAGATTAAGTCGTTCACGTCTTAAGTCCCCTATGAAATTCTGTACCAGAACATGTAGTATCAGAAACTGCTGTCAATACATTCTAACTGAAGTCGGACCTTTACAGTACTACGAATTGTAAGGATTAATATAGGTCGGACGAACTCTTAACCTTACTACTGAAAACTGGAAATAACTTCAGTGGGTAAAAGTACTACAGATTTTTGAGCTGTAACACTTTTGAGTTTACAAACCACGCTAAGTGTACGGAGTCAGAACAAGTAGGTATGAACATCTAAACCCTAATACTATCAAGAAACCAATGTAGGCAATTTTCACGCCACCGGTGTTACATTCAGTCTACTAGGCAACCCTTCATATGTTGTCAAGAAAAACCACAGTGGACCGAAAACATCCGAATAACACACACTGTTCAAACTTACTTGACTGACAAGGATACCCGAAGATGTCGTTTGCTTAGTGACAAGGTGGTTTCCAAGCATTCTCGACACTATGAGCGCCATTTCATTTGGATCCTGCGTAAGATGGACGCCACCCTTAAACCCATCACGAAAAACGCCCATTCCTCTACCACCTGCCGGTATCTGGGCTTTTATAACATACTCTTTGACCTGTAAGTATGTTATTTACAATATATAACAATCTACTCTGAAATTGTTTTTTGCCGTATCAACTTCATTAGGGTTTCTGACAAGCACGAACCTTTGCACGTTAATCCCATGATCTGACATCAACTTTTTGCACTGATATTCTTGAAGGTTTATAAAACGTTTCCATATTTTATCGACAAGGACACCACTGGAAAACACAGTTCCCAGTTTATTCATATTACGCACTGGTTGTGACCTTCAGCGTTCAATGTTTGAAATAGACTCAAAATGGTTCAAATGGTTAATACGGTTGTCGACGGAATAGAAGAAGCTTTCACTTAACGAACTCCCATGTTTAATTGCAGTGGATCATCAATATCTTAAGGCAGGAACCTAGATATATTAACGATAACAGAGAGAAAAATTAATTGATAAATCATAGTAAGATATTATCCTTGGTCCTTTAGAACAGGCCAATTTTCCTCTTAAAAGACTCCTGAGAAGTCACCTGAACTGGCCTAGCCGGCAGTGAGCTCCAGTATTTGACAACTCTTAGGGATTAGACGTCGTGTCTACAGTCCGTTCGGCTGTGTTGTGTCTCTAGTTTCTGGGTATTACCCCTTAGGTATGTGCTGGAACTAAAGTGTCAAGGATACTATATGTCATCACAAGGTCACCTATAGGACCCTTATACTCTAATGGGTGAAGGTTTGGTGAATGGAGGCACTCTTCGTAAGGCTTGGCAACCAAGTTTTACAAATTTGGCAGTCTACTTCTAGACCAATTAGAGTAAAACTGGAATTATCATTTCCGAAGTATCTATACTCATTATTCGATGATTTGTTTTTTCATTGACTTTTTCGAGTCGCTGCAAAATTTAATCCTTTAGTTTGAGTTTCTCTTTTGGAAGACAGGAGGCTGAGTGGCATGTGTCAGTCCAAGCAATAGTAGTCTTTCAGTTGATCCAGCTTTTTTGATAGCGTTAACAAATGGAGCTTCAATCACGTGTTGATGTCGTAGCGGTAATATACCTCAAAAATAAATAGTTCTGTCAGTCTTCGACATTGATATTGACCTCATTAGTTTTACTGAACACACCTAAGTGAATGAGCTTGTTCACTCACTTGCATGAGATCACGATTTGGTATTCCATGCTACGCATCCCTTGAAATCACCAGCCAGCCTGAACCAAACGCCTCACGACATATCGCGAGCCTTCCGAGTATAACTTCGAACCTTTTCATCCTCGACTTCTGATTTCACTGGGTTGGTTGATTTCGATCTCTAGCCCAAATGTGTACTTTAGAAGCGATAAAAATAGTATTGCTTACTGACTTGACACGATGAAACGGTAAAGGCAACAACGTGACTCCCATGAAGGACCTGATAGATTAAAAAGCCACATCATCACAAATCTGCAATTTCACGATTAGACCAATAAAGACCAATAAAGAAAAATGTACTAATATCTAATTAGACCGTAACTCTTCAGGCATACTTTGATTTCAAAGGTGTTACGTATAAATAAGTTGTCAAACGCCGAATACTTGTGACATCCTTAAGTTGACAAATTCGATTTTTTTGATTATTCAATCGGAGAGTCGATAGTCAACTGACAAGTAATTGTTCCTATGCTCGTGATTTTCTTTAGGGTTTTCGTGTAAGTTCTCTGCTTTAGAAGGCATGAAAAATAAGGAAATAACAAATGTAAATTTATCACCACGTAATTTAAACATTATGATCAAGTCACATCTGGTCATCTTCATGACAATAGAAATGGATTCTGTTTAGCCAACCGAGCATCATGCGGGAGATTTGCTGTTCCGGGGATCGGTTCATTTACAGTACTTTGAATCTTGTCTAACAGTTCTCTGTCTCCTTTAGAACTGCGACGAACGAATACTGTGTAAAGGCCTTACACACTGGCCGTAGGGTTCTAAAACCTTTTGAGGCTATCACATGGTAGTGTACGGAAGTTTCATGGTCTTAGTTAACGATGCCTCCTAAGTCGTTATGTATCTGGATATCAAGTAACACAATTATTTCCATTGTGTATCTTTACGTACCTTAGAACCATTTATCGATAGCTTCCAAATTTAAGACCGTTCAGAAAGTATCATTATATCACTTTAAAGTTGTAATCTATAAACTTTATATTTTACTGATCTCTATATATCGGCTTTGTCAGCAAACAGCTAGACTGATGACGATAATAGACTAAAAAGGTCATTTACACAATGGGGTAGCAACACTCAGCGAAACTGTGCCTTGAGGTACTCCACTAAGCACAGTTTACCCACTAAGCAACTTTGAGTCCACTCGCACTATATGTTGGCGCTAAAATAAGAGGTCATTTGCCCACATTAAAAAATTGTCAGCCAACGCGAAAGTCAGAATTTTCGACAGTACCTTAACAACACTCCTAAGATACGAACCTGAAAGTTTGACATATACCACAGCCATCATTTTAGAAGTAAATACATTTATGATAAGGTGACTACTCAGCATACTGTGGACCCAGCGGTCGGACACAGCAACCGATAACTCTGCAATGGAATAAACCATTTCACAGTTGAAGAGTTAAATACGAAAAGCAGTGGCATTTGGATAAAACATACTTCACTAGACCGTGGCATAAGGCAGGTCCTAACTTGAATTTTTCAAGTCAAAGTGAAATGAGACAGACAAAAATGCAAATGTCTTCGAGTCAGATTTCAAATAATCAATATTACAATGGAACAATGAAAAAGGAGGTCTGACAACAGAGTTGATAGAAAATTACTTGTCGATGTTCTGCGGGGGGTAAGAGGTGTATGCAGATATGGATTACAGCCGTTAAAACTTGAAAAATCACAGTAACAGAAAGATTTCCAAACCTTTACACAGGTTGTCTCAGTCAGCTGTTTTATAAAAAGTCAATATCATGGTTCAGTGATTTTCCTAATATCGGTCACCGAATGTGGAACTTAACGGAGATTACAGGCAACATTCATTCAGCTGTGTCTGTCTCATCCCGATCACAGTTAACTGAACTCTTTATCCATCCAAAGGAGAGTTGTGTTACACACTTCTCGGGAGATTGTAATGTTAGATCACCATATAACTTGAGTTAAGTGTAGTGTTTGAATTAACTAATGAAACCTTCGTATCTGTTGAATGCTTGATTTCGAAATCTAAATACAATACATTCATTTGTGCTCACCTAGTATTTCTTGATTAAATTGCGTTACTTCTGGGCTTCTTCGCTCATTCTACAGTTCAAATAATTCGAAACATTACAGTTAAGATAACGGGAACAGGTTGAGTTGTCACAGTCTGCCTCATCAGATAGGCTAGAGATACATTTTGCCGTTTTGAAAACCAACCGTCGAAGTCACTCTAGCACATCCGCCTCATACTTGAAGCAAGACCTTTTCGTGCCTTAAGGTAACCCTCGTGCTATTGATAGAAGAAACCAGACTAGTAGTGAATAGATCTTTATTTAGATCTTCGCGCAGTCACAGTGGAGCATGGGATTACCTGTTCAGACAAACAAAGTCTCTCGACATTCCACATAAGATAATAGGAAATATAACGCCTATACAAAATAAGGGAATGAATGAATACTTGAACTCTACTGTTTTGACATATGCTTAGTTGTTTGAGGTGAACTCTTAACCAACCAACCTAAGCTGTTACATTAGCTTCTCCCTAGAATCCACTTCTGTAGGAACTTCAGTTCGATTAACCTATCTATCAAAAACACCTTAGTTCTGTTTTCTCAGCCCAAAGTAAAATAATCAATTCGCTCGCTGTTTAACTTACAATCAATGACGACTAACTCCGTCAGCAATCAACGATAGTCCATGGATGTCTCTACATTTGCTAGCTTGTCATCGTATTTTGTAGCATGTTATTTCTTCTACAACTATCGCTGATGGTTCGCTACGTACTCTTAAGAGAAAAAGTGTGAGAATGTGGAACAAGAATATCTGAGAAAGTTCCGTGAGTGAGCTAACCAACACCATGCTTGTGAGGTACGATTTTTCCATGCTCTGTCCGACTATCAGGTGTTTACTCACCTGACTCTTGAGTCACCCTCAAGTAAAAAATAAAGAAGTATCTACTTCAGAGGTAATGATAAAAACCAATCAAACCTGAAGAACTGCTACACTGCCTGCATAAAATAATAAAATACAAAGTGGAAATACACAAATATAATTGATAATTGTTCGGTTCCACGTAAGTGATTGGTCTCCAGAACGGATTGATAGTCTGGAAGGAAATAGACATATTGTAGACATTTTGTGTACAAAAAAGCATGAAAACAAAAAAATACTCTTTTAGAATGCATATATGTAAATGATTGAAATTGCCCGAAGTTGAACTCTTTATCAAACCAGATCAGATGCATGACCTCGAGTCTATGATGACCACCTTTTATTACCAGGTATGTTGTAACGGGATTAAAATCATCATACATGGTGTTGTTAATAGATTTCGTTTTCTTTCTATTGCATGGCAACCAAGAATAAATGCCTTAGAAGAAGAAGAAGAGCAAGCCCTGCATGCACTAAACTTACAGGACGACTCATAAGACCGTTTTGTAAACTAGCTCTCTTTTCTGTACATAACCCGAGAGTTTTAATTTTCAAATAAACGACTGGTGGTCTCCATTCCGTGTTCTCCCTGTGGTGTGAAGTGCTCAGTTAACATTGTGTGTGTTGTGGCTTTAGGTCTTACTGCCTTTCAGTGACTGCTGATTACACGTGTTATAATGTAACCGGATGTGCATTAGAGTACTCTCCAAAACGAAAGAGAATATACGGTTAAGGAGGAAAAGAAAATTTTGAAGAGTAAGAGGATCAAATACATTTGTTTCAGACACCCTTTGCTGGTTTGATGTAGGTATGCTTGATATATTGAAGCTATATTTCGTCAATTCATCTAGGTAACGAATTGGCCTAAACCTTACAAGTGTGCATGTCCTATTACTCATTAGTATTACGAATGAATTATCGGTGAAAAAAAATACTGTGTTCATTTCCACACGCGCACGCACGCGGTCTAGCATTCAACAGGCAAGGGTTCGATTGCGTGTGGGGCCTGCGTTTTTGTTCACCAAAACCCTCTTCAATAGGATGTTTGTTGCCCTTAAGTCGCTCAGATATGAGAGAAAAATGATAAGAGGACAGATTTATATGTCAAAGTGCCATATTGGAACAGTACAAGTTCTTTGTTTATACTAATAACAATTTTATAGAAAAAAACAAATTTGGTAGAT